GAATTTGCAGTGGGCAGCTGTAGACGGTGGGAAAGTGTCTTCCTGACTTCTGGTTTTAACAGTCTGTGGCCTTTCCGCGGTGACACTGGTGTCTTCGGCTTCTTCTCTGTCAGAATCACTGAGATGCTCCACCGACAGCAGCTTCTGTTGGTCTTTTTTTTCCTTTTATGACTGGCAATATTTGAAGCTTCTGTTGAGCTTGAACCCCACTTCACTTGGGCACGTCACAGCAGCCCAGAGGTGGTTACGCAGCCTTCGTCTCTAAGACATGAGGATCAGTATGCTGTTTGCTTAAGTGGACTGTTTTTGTCTTTGGTATTTTGGGGTGTTTCCCCCTAAGAAAGTGTGGTTAGCAAATCAGGAAGCTGGGATGGGGAAGGTTGACCTAGACGGTATGTGGTCACTTTAGGACACCTTGCTGCATTTCTTCCTTCTGTGATGAAGTCCACTTTGGGGAGCCTCACAGGCTGCTGTTTAAGAGCCAGTCTGTTGGCTGCCAAACCAGTGCAGCTCTGTCTGTCCTTCCTGTCCTGGGAAGGTGGTTTCTTCAACCAATGGTGCAGCTTGGTTGGGGCCCCGTGACGTAGGAGGCCTGCGGGGCCTGGGCCGCGGGGAGGAGTGAGAGACCCCGGCTCGGGCTGTGCAGCAGTCCTGCGGTTCGTAACTGGGCAGGAGCGTAGCCAAATCGACCTCATATGGAATGTGGATTTTTTCTTTTTCATCTTTGGTTTTTTTACTTGTTATAATAAGCATGTAATGCTTTTTAATTAAATTAAAGAAAAAATTGAACAACAGAACTTTAAAAAAGAAGACAAGGGGCATGATCTCAAATAGATTATCTCTAAGTGAGAAGAGAATAAATGGTGTTTGTGCTTTAGAATCACACAAGTCCATCAGTTCCACAAGCATTTCAGGATTTGGTGCTAATCGTGAATGCTGCAGGACCTCAGACCTACTTCTCACCATGAGTTCACGTTTTCCCCCATTCTCCTCCCTTTCTGGGCGTTAGACAAAGCATTTTGCTTTGTTGTTACCAGAAACAAGTACCTAACATATATTTAATTCATTTTGTCTCCTTTCTTTTTCTAGGTGCTTAACAAGGAACAGATCTCACGGGGTTGCATTTCTTACTATTAAAAACACTGCCTAATAATAGATCGTGAGAGCTTAAAAATGTCCATACCCATCAGCTCTGCAATTTTACTTCTGGAAATCTTTTTTAAGGAAAACGTCTGAACACAAATACACAAGTTAGGCAAGAGGATACCCATCACTACATTTTTTTTAAATAGCGGAAAAAGGTCACAGTTTGATTTCCCAGCAGCAGTGGATTTGTTGGCTAAGTGGAGTGGTTGAACACAGGCGATTAAAGCACGTTAGGCACAGGGCCTGGTGGCTGCCCAAGGAGTCCAGTGTGAACCGGGACGGACCGGCCAGACCCGTGAGTGACTCCCCGTCCCTGACTCTCTTCCAGTGCTTCGCTGTGCGCTCGCTGGGGTGGGTGGAGATGGCGGAGCAGGACCTCGCGCCTGGCAAAAGCAGCGTCGCCGTCAACAACTGCATCCGGCAGCTTTCCTACTGCAAAAACGACATCCGGGACACCGTTGGCATCTGGGGAGAGGTGAGTAGCACGAGGGACGGTGACGGGCAGGTTTGTGCGTTTCTGAAGCCACAGCTCAGCGAGACGCAGCGCTGGGGGCTCTGGGGTGCTTATTTGGTGCGTTTTCCCGTGAGGGCAGGAAGGGCAGGCCCTGTGCACCACGCGATCGGCCCCCAGCATGTCACCGCGGGATCTCAGTGCCAACTGGGGACCTGGGAGAGGACGTTTCTCAGCAGCCAGGTGACGAGGTGTGACCTGGTTTTCCTGAGTCCCCAGGGATCCGTGGGTGAACACGAGGGGCCCAAACTTCCCTGCACGTGGTGCAAAGTTGGTCCGTTGAGCAGCTTTCCAGGAAGAAGCCCCATGTTCTCAGGGGAAGGGGGGTTTGCACACGTACACACAGAGGTGCTGGTGCTCCTGCCCAGAACCTCGACAAATGACCCTTCAATAGCACATTCGTCCTCATTCACAGCCTGACAATCACATTATACATGAGTTATGGAGTAGATACCTATACATTCCCTCTCATTTTCAGCAAAGTGATTCCATTTTGAAATGTTAGTTCAGATCATTTCAGGAAAGAAAGTAGTAAGTACAAAGACCAAATCTGTGTAAAAATCACATCAAACAGGAAAAGCCACGTCCCTCCCGTGCTCCGGAACCTGTAGGACACGGAAGGTGCTTGTTCTGGGTGTGCTCTGCTCCATCTGTCCCCAGTCGGCAGGGCACCGGTAGCAAGGTTTGCCCTTTGACCCGGCCGTTTGGAACGCTGCTCACGTGTCCTCCTAGCACCTTGTCACCTTGGGAGGTAGGTCCCCAAGCCTTTCCATGGCGGAGTCTGTCTACTTTAAGATGGTGCTGAAACGAGCTGCCAACCAGACTCATAGATCCCAGGCATGGTGGGGGAGCTGCAAGGATTTTTTCCTGTTCAAGAAAAGCTGTTTGCACTCTTGGTGTTTGACTTCACCATCCTCCCACACGTTACCTCCCACCCAAATAGCCAGGCCTATTTTTCCTGCCACATTATCCACCTGTATTCTTTCTCCTTTAGTCAAAAATGCTGTTCCTCCAAAAGAACAATTCTCGGCCAGGATTTAGAAGGAAGGTTGTTGTGGTTTTTACTAATGTGTGAATGGCTGACATTTGGGGGTGCCATAGGTCTGAGGCAGTGTGCAGCCTGTTGCTCCAGGCTGTATGGAATCTGCGTAGCCACAACAGTCTACACAAGCTGTGTTTTCTGCCAGTGCTTTCATCTTAAACAGAGAGCGTAGCTGCTCTTTGGGGAAGATTTGAGATCATGCTGGATCTCAGCTGTAGACACTGGCCACTGTTTAAACATCGGCTGGCAGAGGCTCTGATATACCACCCTTGCCACCCTGACCATTGGAGCTGCATTCATTCTGAGAATCTTTCATGGGAAAGATGGAAATGATGGAAAACATCATTCTCAAAAACTATACTAAACCTGGCACGATGGCTCAGACCTGTAATCCCATCACTTTGGGAGGCCAGAGTGGGAGAATTGCTTGAGGCCAGGAGTTTGAGAATAGCCTGGGAAACATAACCAGACCCCGTCTCTAAAAAGAAATTTTTAAATTAGCCAGGTGTGGTGGTGCACACCTATAGTCCCCAGTACTTGGGAGGCTGAGGCAGGAGGATCGCTTGAGCCCAGGAGTTCGAGGCTGCAGTGAGCTGTGATCACGCCACTGCACTCTAGCCTGGGTGACAGTGAGATCCTGTCTCTAAAAAACAAAGTGAAAACTGTAGCAAAGAGCAATTTATCTGTCTCACTTTGGGATCTGAAGACCTACCCGGAAGCCTCCCTGTTCTGCCCAGCTGGATCTTCCACCTGGGCTGCCATGGGTAGAGGCGGTCTTTCAGCCGTGCGGCAGATGTTTGATGATTTCTCGAAGTTACGCCTGAGGGATTGCAAGGGGAGTAGCGTTGAATGGTCTGGTGTTCCCGCCCTCAAAGAGCCACATACGCGGGGAGACGAGACACCTAACCCTAAGAACCTGAATCGCAGTGCAAGAGGTGAGGAGCTTGGGCCCTGCCCTGTGTTGCTATTGCAACAGCGCCCGTGACGGGTTCTGTGTCAGACCTCGAGCAAGCCACTTAACCTTTAAGCCTCAGTTTCCCCTCCTGCTAATTGGAGATGATGACAACCCAAGCTCTCACAGGGCAGTTTGGAGCACAGAGCATAGTATCTGGGATGCAATAAGCAGTCACATAAGTGTTAGCTGTCGTGAGTGCTCAGAAACGTCACAAGCTGTGCCTGCTGTTTGCCAGACCACCCAGGATGCCGTGGGAAAGTGGGGACGGCATCGTTGAGGGCCCGGGAAGGCCAACAGGGTGCTCGGTAGGTAGGGTCTGGCCGGAGCAGTGGGGAGGGACGGGCAATGAGATTTTGATGGGCGTCGAGCTAGTGCAAGACCAGATTCTCCAGGGAACCCGATGAGCCCTTTGCTTCAAAGATTCGGAAGTGTGAATAATTAACAGCAGGAGCAGACTAGAAAGCAGGTAGGGACACATCGCGGAAGACTCGGAGAGGGAGAGAGAAATTGGGTACATGAGGGGAACGTGAAAGATTTATGAATATTTCAGTGCGGAAAGGACGTTTCTCTCTTAGGAAAACAAATTACAGACCCAAAGGTGGCTTCTTTTGATCGTTGGCGTGACGTCCTGGACGGTCACAAGGTCCTGGATGGTCACAAGCGCGGTGAGGGTGCAGGCCGCAGAGGAAGACGGCGTGTTTTCTCGTTGCCTCCAGGGGAAGGACATGTACCTGATCCTGGAGAACGACCTGCTGAGCCTGGTGGACCCCATGGACCGCACCGTGCTGCACGCCCAGCCCATCGTGAGCATCCGCGTGTGGGGCGTGGGCCGCGACAACGGCCGGTGAGTCCCCGCTGGTGCGTCTGCGCCGCCTTCGCCAGCCCCCGGGTTTGGCTCCGCACCGACCTGCGGGCTCTCGGCATTTCACTGAACGCAGAGCTTGGCGGGAGGCTCTGTCTGCAAGAGTAAGAAACGAAAGTGCGTCCCTCTTCCCTGCCTCTTAAACCCTCCGGGCCGCTCCCCTTCCTCGTTTCTGCGCCTCAGACCTTTCGGGAGCTCCGGTCCTGCCTCCGAGCCCTGCATCTCCCTCCTCCCGACCATCCTCGTGGCCGAGTTGCCAGCCCACCCAGGCAGTCTGAGCCCCTTTTCCCTCTTCTCTGTGGTCTTTTTATAATCGATCCCGTTTCATTGAGTGGCACCCCCTACCGCTGTTTTCCTCCTGGAGGGCTCCTTCGAGGGGAGAAGTTGTGTAGCCTGTAATTGCAACCCTTAGATCAGTAAATCGTGGTTATCAGGAATTTCTGGGGCTTGGGATCAGCTAAACTTTTTTAACGCTTGAAAGGTCTGGTCGTTTCAAAATTCCATTCGATATGTATCTTTCTGGAATTCTACTAAAGATTTGTTATTTATGAGAAATGCTTCTTACTTAGACGTGTTGTGAATTCTCTGTTCTCCAGGATGGCTGGGAACAAGGCAGTTCTGATTTTCAAGCACATGTTCTAGCTAATAAAGTAGCAGTTATCACAGACATCATGCTTGGAGACCACTGTTAAGTAACTGGGCTACATCCAATGCGATTAATTTTTAAACTATAGTCAATATTTGGCAATTCCCAAGGTACTGGAGGATCGTGTAGCTGGCATTTAGGGACATGCCATAGGATGGTTAGTTGTTGCCAAGAGCGTTGCAAAAGCAGGTGAAAATCTCAGATGATAGCGAGATGACTCTCCTGGGCATTCTGGTTTTTTATCGTGTCACGTGTTCCTCTCGCTGTGGGGGGGGGTGTCTCCACTGGCTTATCTCAGCCTTTGTCGACCAAGGCTGGGCATTAGTGCATTCGATTCAGTTCCAGGCCCTAAACCAGAAAGGAAGGATTATTGGCTAAGTCGTCATCAATCAAAGAACGAGCATTTATGCTGGAAGCAGACATAAGAAATGGTCTGCACAGAGAGCTGGAATGTTCTCTGACTGCTGATCAGATAAACCTTTCTGGGAGCACAGTTGCATCTTTGAGCTTTTTGTAACAGAATGATGAGGGGCGACAGCTGGTCCAGATGCTTCATGGGGGTGCGTGGGTGGCTCACGCGCATACGCCCGTCACTCGCTTGCTTGCCAGAGCTGTAGCGGTGGACTCGATGTGTTGACGTGAATCGATTAATTTTACAAGGGAGATAGCTGATGTTCGGTCATCACTAAAAACGTTTCGCTTTGGTGGACGGACCTGCATGTAAGATGCGTGATCCTTTCCTGGTTCCTATCCTCCAAGTTTTTTATTTTTTATTTTTTTAAGGCGGCAGCCAAGGCGGAAATCATTGTGTACATGCACAACTAGATGAGGCTGGGTTTTCTTAAGGTTGGGCCATCGGTGGATTTTAGTGAGAGGATTTTCAGCTCGCCCCAACTCTTTAAAGTGAGGCCAAACAGTCCATGTCCGGAGGGAAACAAATGATTCAAACTCTCTGAGCCTCTCTGAGTTTTCCTTATCTGTGAAATGGGCTTCATGATAAGGACCACAGCGTGTGTGTGTGTGTGTGTGTGTGTGTGTGTGTGTGTGTGTGTGCGCGCGTGCATATACAGTGATGGGGACGTGGTAAGTGCTTAGTGATTGTCAGCTCTGGATTTTTGAAGCGACACGTGCTAGCAGCTGCAGCTGATTACACGGCTTCCTTTCAAAGACGGTGCGGGTCAGGGAGGACTCAGACCTCAGGGAGTTTTCAAGGACAATTTTTCATGTGATACAGAGTCCGAAAGCCTGTTCCAGACACTACTGGGTGCGGCTGTCCTACGAAGTAGGAAGAGCCTCCCACCCCAGCCCCCACAATGAGATCAGCGTAAATTAGGTTGCACTGCCTTGGTTATGTGTTCGAAATGTGGGCTGGATCACTCATGTTTTTAAATCACTTCTTATTCTCACTCAATGTCAGCAGATAAATGTAATTTAGAAACACACCCAGGGTTCCACACACGCCATCAGGAACTCAACAAGATCCTGGGATTGCGGGGGGCCTTCAGCTGGATGCTTTTGGAAACAGTGAATTTAAAAAGCATATTTGCCAGTGACAGGTTCTATTTCTTCCTATTGGTCCCCCGAGTTTTCAGTCCCTGGAAGAAGGGGCCTTTGTATGCCTGCCCTTTTTTTTTTTAAGCTTTCCTTTGCTTTTGATTTCTTTTTTTTTTTTTAACAGCAATTTACAAGAGCAAATTCAATTTGTAATGCTGCAGAGGAACGGGGTTTTCACTTTGCATGAATAAAACATAAAAGTGTTTCATTTTGCCCGCAAAAACGAGCGCATTTCACATTCTCTTTTGTAACTTGCTCTGAGAATGGAATCTCTTAGGGGGTTTCTAGACGGGGTTAAAATGCATAAGAAGAATATGTAGTAGAACAGGCCTGAAGGGCACAAAATCTTTCTTGAAATCCAGAGTGCTTCACGGAGCCATGTAATTTCAGACTTCATCCAAGCATTTTGGGTTTAGCGTTTTCGTAAGACTTTCAAGTGATTTTGATTTGCTTTGGAGAAATTCCTCACGGACCGAGTTCACTTTGCGTGAGGAGGTGATCGGTGGGGACACCCCGCCCAGGCCCAAGGTCGGATCGGAGAGACCTCTTCGAATGGCACGAGGAGTCGCAGTCACACAGACGCCGTCCTCTGTGGGGTTTCGGCTGTTGCACGGGGAGGCTGAAGTCTTCTCCTTGAGAGTTATTTCCTGGAGCCTGTCTGTTCACTGCCTGGCCAAGTGGGGGCTGCCTCCCCTGTCCTGGCCGTACCGTGCTGTGGCCCCTTTTGACCACAGTGGGATAAAAGCCGAGGCTTCCGGACAGGGAGGCTGGTGAGGGGCTCCACACGCCTTTCCTTCCCAGTCCCACGCAGCCCGGGAGCCCCCGGCTAGACCTGCCTGCGCGGCCACTGCGCAGAGGAGAGCGTCTTCGCCGTGCGAACGGTCCGGGCCTCACAGCCGACATTGTGCCCTTGGCAACGGGGCGGGTGAGCGGAGTTCCCCTCTCGGCCTGTCCCTGTGGACCCGCCAACCTCCCACCCCGAGCGTGGCTTGGGCGGGGTGTCACCACCCCGTTTCAGAGGCCTTTGCTACCCTCCGGCCTCGGTGTTGCTCCTCCTCCCTCACACCTGGGGAAGCACCTTGCTCCTTATTCTCTTACAGAAGCACGAAAAGCAAGCGAACGTAATTTCTGGACATGGGGGATTTTGACAGGGACGTCTCTCTTGCCTTGTGGCAGATACAGGCCCCTCTTCTGGGGAGGGGCACCGAGACCCTTGTGCACATTGGCCAATGGCCAGAGAGGCTGCTGATCCCATGCGTTTTCCATAAGAAGGAGGGGAAAGTGGGTAGATGGTATTGTCAGAGGGGTTTAGACCCCGTAAGTGCAATTTTTCCAAGAGGCTGCCATATCAGTGTTAATCAGTTAAGATGTTCATTGACTTTCCTTGAGGGGAAGAAAAGTTCCAGAATTCACTTGGGAAACTCAGTGAAACAAAGTGCAAGGGCCCCTTCACTCTGGGCCCTCTCAGCAGCTTCCCTGTGCTGACAAGCACGGGGACCCTCCAAGGAAGCACGTTCCAGACCTGGCTGGAACCCCTTCCTTCTCAGAAAGGCAGTCCTGTGGAACACACTTTGGGAAACACTGCTCTGCTTGGTAAACTCATTGAATTAGTGGCAACACTAGCTTGCTGGTTCTGTTTATGAAGAAAAATTTGAATTACTTTTAATAAATAACTTATAAGTGGAGACCCCATTGGGCCTGCTCTAATGAAGCTCTAATGAAGATAAAACTCCTTCATAATCAGTAGCAACCATACAAGTGCTTCGTGAACAGTCCTTTCTTGTTCAGGTTTAGTGTTTAATGTTTAATGTTTGCCCCATGATGTTGTTTGTGCTTACGGTTTGTATGGCAGAACCTCTCTTCCTAGGAGGTGTTTAATACGTCTCTTTTCTAGGTAAGATGAATAATTTTTTAATAGAATCTCTCTGTATAATAGATTATTCATAAATTTCCAAATAAGATCATCATTGACTTGATTGTTTTATCTGGTTATGATCCAAGGAGCTTTTGTCTAAAGAACATAGTCAGTCTCAATTGCACTAAAGATTTTTTTCGTATTCTCCTTTCCCTAGGACATTCCCACTGGTTTTATCCACCAAGACCCCAGTTCAAGTTGTTCTAAAAGGCTTTTGCCACACAAAGTTCATGCTTGTATTCTCCTGCCAGTGTTGCTTTGATTTCTTTTGAAAACGTCACTTAATTTTTGGCAGTATTACCCAGGGGGTCCTGGGTAATACTGGGGTAAATTATTTGGAATATACAAAACTTTTCATTCATAGGTTTTTAGGTTTAAAAGGCGATTTAGTAATCAGTATCTTTCAATCTATTTATTTTAGAAATTAGGAAACTAAGAACAGAACAGTGTGATTTACCTTAAGTGACGTGTCTAGTTTGTGGCAGAGCAAAGAATAGATCTTGGGTATTTTTCCCGTCCAATAAGAGGCTACTCTGCTAATCCTGCTGAGAGATGATGGATGATCTAAAGGACCAGGGAGGGGTGCAGATCTGACGTGCAGGAAACACTGCCCCAGGCAGCAGTGGGCGGTAGGAACGTCTACGGCGTGGTCCCCGTCTTTGTGGCTCTGGCTTCTTGGTGGAGGAGTGAGACCACACGAGTGAGTTGAAAGCAGAGGTCGATAAACTACGTTCCCGGGGCCTCGTTTGTGTGGCCCATTACTGAAGAACGGTGTTTACAATTTTCAAGCGTCGTTTAACAGAAAAGAAAGATCCAGACACAGGAGACCCAGCGCGACCCGGCTCTTCTCTCTACGTAGCTACCCCA